CAGCAGGGCCGGCTCTGACATTGGCCAGAGTGAGGTGGTTGCCCCAAGCAGGAGACTTATTGGTGTCATGAAAGGGAACAACCCATTCATTATTAGCATGTTACAGTCGATCTAAACTATCATAAGTCCCCATTGATTCCCATGTGTTTACTTTTAAGTATGACTCCTGATCCAGCCAGTTAAGTTGTTGCTGTTGTTATTATTGTTGTTGTCGTTGTAAAAACCTTCTGGCACCAGAGGTCTCCTGCAGCACTACATTGCAAACAAATCATTTTTTTTCCAGCCGGCTTTCTTAACTGTTCTTAACTTTCACACCCATACATGGGTGATCGGAATAAAAGAGGCCAATGCCGGCTGGATATTTCAGTGAGTTTAGGTCTCAGGGTTTGAAAATAGGATTCCCTCTCTGTGCTTCTCAGGAGAAAAGCCAGCCTGGGTGGCCTTGGGCACGTTGCACGGATCCAGGGCATGCGCCCGACCGCCCACCCCCGGAAGAAGGGAATGGTAGACCACTTCTGAGTACTGAATACCTAGAAAACCCTGGAAAGGATTACCGTGAATCTGAATGTATTTATTATGGTCGGGTAACCAGCTCATAAAACATAGGTATGGCTAAAATATACAAAATGCAGTTTAAAAATGTACAATCAGTTAATAAAGCATATTGTGTGGTTAAATACACAAAATGCAATTTAAAAAGTGTACAGCCAGTTCATAAAACATGTTACTATATGTTTAAAATATACAAAATGTTATTTAAAAAGTGTACAACAAATATATGTAAAATATGGGGAGAATCAAATACAGCATTTTTATAGCTGTCCCTTGAATCATTGAATCGTCTAGGGCAAACTGGTTTGGACAGGGTCATTCAGTTATAGGGAGTCCTTCCTACATATGTGAATCTGAATTGATTTCATAACGTATTATGATGAAGATTTGAGCTTTCCCACCCCATGAGTAGACAGGAAGAGACGTGTGTGTTAACTGGCACACAGCCCAACCTACATGCCATATATGTGTTCTTTACTCCATGGGAAAAGCCTTATTATAGTTATTTACTTATTTAAAATATTTTCTTCCCGAAAGTCTGGGTAAAGGAGGCCTTCTGTATAGCATGACCCTGAAGCAGGAATCTGTAAAGGCACCCTTTATGCCCCCAAGGGTACCTGTTTCTCCTCGTCTGGCAACCTCCAACTTCATGATTGCAAGGATAGATATTGAGTTTCCTCTTAAATTTGAAGCTCCGAAAGGGAGATCGGGCAGTTCCCGAAAGGGAGTTCGGAAAAGTTACCGCTTTGGACCAGAACTCCAGGAAAAACCCAGCAGGCGGGCTGCTGAGCGCGTCTGAGAGTTTCCTAGGACTTGAAGTCCGACATCTAAATCCATCTGAGAGTCCCAAACAGAGTAGAGACTCGTTCAATAAGCTGCTCAATGGGGCATCAGCCATTGTGTAAATCCCATTGATTCGATGGGTCTGCTCTGGTTGGAAGGTCCAAAGGTAACTGGCCTAAGCAAGCACTCCTGCGGCCTCAATTCTGCTGACCTTCCGGGCCCTGAAGGTGCTCAGAAACAGCCTTGAGGGCGCTCAGCGCAGCTGGATGGAGCAGCATGTTTTCTCCTGAGCTGAGAAGATTGGGAAGAGAGAAGAAGCATCTTTCTCCAGTCCACTGCTGAGCTTCAGAGGTTTAGTGGAGTAGCAGAAGAACTTTCTCCCTGAACTGGGTGTCCCTCCAAAGTTCATGGCTGAAAAACTGGAGATCTGCACCGTCAGAGCTTGGGAATCCTGGAATTTGGGGGCTGTTCCCAGAACCCGTGAGCCTCCTTTCCTACCCAAATCCTGCGTGCTCTCCAGCCAGTTACAAACCGACCCTTTGTTCATTCATTTGTTCATTCGTTTGTTGGTTTACTATTCCCTCCTTCTGGGCACACCCAGGGAATATGCAGTTTACCTAAGGCTACCCAGACTGGCTCCTTCTCCTGAGATGCACCAAGGAGTATCACGCTCCCAGCCTCTAGGACCAGACACCTAACTCACCATGCTCTCCAGCCAACAGCTAGAGTTGTACTCAACTGGAAGACCTCACAGGAGAGCTGTTTCTCTCTCTCTCTCTTTTGTGGCCTCCTCACATAGATTTAGCAATGCGCAAGAAAATATTAAACACATTTCCCGTTTCATCCCCTTTCCCCAGCCTCTTGTGGCTTTAAATACCTTGAGTAAACCTCAAGATTAAAACAACAACAACAAGGAAACGGCTACCTCAGACAAGAGTCAAAACTTACCTGCTAGGAATGTTGGAAAGTCGCTGACAAGTATTTTCTCGTAATAAAGTTCACTTCAAACGTGGTTCCATTTGTAGAAACCTTAGGGGGGGCAATCCATGTGCTCTTGTTTCACCGTGTTTTCTTCTTTGGATCCACCAAGCGCCCAGTCTCTGGGGGGATCCGGGTCATCTGAAGATGTTGTCGTACTGGAAGGCAAAGCTGAGGTCAACTTGACAAGCACGCGGAGTGTGTCTTCCCTTTAGTTGTGCAGGGAGGAGAGGCAAATGGGGAGATTTATTTTTAGCCGGCACCGTCGGTCGCCTGGAACCCTGCAGTGTTGGCTTTTGCAGAATCGGCTTGCCTCCGTATTTATTTTCTTTGCTGGCTTTCCTTTGGGTAGTTTTAGAATGTGCGCATGTCTCACCTCCTCTCTTGGGAATGGACTGTCCAACTTGCCACGCTGAGAAGGTGTGACCAACCTAGGATCTCCTGGGAGTTGCATGGCTCGGTGGAGACTTACTCAAGTCCCAGTCTCTAACCACTGACCTGCACTGTTTGACTTATGCAAGCCCTTTGAACAGCATCCTCTTGTAATTCTACAGTTCAGCTGTGGTATCTGCAAGGGATCGGTACCACACACATACACCCCACGGGTTCTGGAAATCACAGATAATAGCGACTGGGTATCTATATTAGACTACAGTATATTATCATAGTCTCTGGTTCTGTCTTGTGGCCTGTTCCGGTAATATATCTTGGAAACATATATAAATACCTATTTCTGGGATTTTTTTATTTAACATTTTCAGGCAGTGGATAAGCAAAACTGTGGATACGGAGCATGCGGATAAGGGGGGTCCTACTGTACTAGGCAGTGGATAAGTGAAACTGTGGATACTAAGCACACGGATAAGGGGGGTCCTACTGTACGCAGCAGCAAGAGAATCCTTCATTTGAAGTGTACCAGCTTCGTGAAGGAACAAGACCCGGCAGATGTCATTGGGCTGTAGCTCCCATCATGATTCATAGTGCTAGCTGTGGCTGGTGGGACTTGTAGTCCAGCGTATTTCCCCCAGTCCTGCCTTCAACGGTGCCAGCTCGGGTGGGGCTGTCTGTCCTGAGGAACAGACTAGCCTTAAGTGACTCTAGCCTGCTTTGCTTACGGAGCTTTAAGGGAGCATTTGATCTGTTTACTCGGCCCCCTCTTTCCTGTATTCTGGCCAAGTACAATGACGCTTAAAGCTTCTCAAGCCTGTGTCGCTTGGAAGAAATGTTTTAAAATGACAGAATGCCTTAATATGTCATAAACTGCTTTTGCACTGATTTCTTAATAGTCTATCTGAGACAGACATGGCATTGGGGGGGGCGAGGTTAATTTCCATGTGGGAGGGAACCCTTAATATGTCATAAACTGCTTTTGCACTGATTTCTTAATAGTCTATCCGAGACAGACATGGCATTTGGGGGGGAAGGTCAATTTCCATGTGGGAGGGAACCTTGTGGCCTTGTAGCCAGATGGGTGGTAAAAAGTCTAACTAACTAACTAACTAACTAACTAACTAACTAACTAACTAACTAACTAACTAACTAACTAACCAGATTTCCCCTAACCAACATAGACACTGCCTCAAATTTTCCCAAGCTCTCGGTAGAAGACATAATATTTATTGAGTTGGAGAGGAAGTACAGCAGCCTTGATGAGTAGGGGAGCCCGGAAGATCTAGTCCCGAAAAAGTACCTCTTTTGAGCTCTACATCTCGATACTCACCACCCTGCACGTATCCCGCATCTCTGGGTGCAGATCACCGGTTCTCTCCCACGTCTCCTACCCCTCTTGGCCCATGTGCCCCAGACAATCCGCAGGGCCCCAAGTCCTACTGATGTGGCAGACCCTCCGTAGTCACTGTCTGATTATCTCGACACCCGGAGGGAAGCTGGCCTCGCACTCTCACCTCTTCCTCATCTTCAGAGGAACCCCTCATCCTGTATCTCCTTCCTCCAGGAAAATGCCACAAGAGTGGGCTGGATTCAGAGTTCAGTGGCGCATCACATACTTTGTGCAGGCAGAAGGTTTCTGGTTCAGGATGGTGCATCTCCAGTTGTCCGTCTGGACGGTCCCCAGCTTTGCGGTGGGGTATGTGGCCGGCACGCAGAAAGATCCAGTTCTCATCTGTTGAAAGCTGATTCAGGCAAGCTCTGCATGGGACTTATAGAGGCAGAGCAGGTGGGAATGAAGGCCGAACCGACGAGACAGGAGCCTTGCAACTCACTGATAAATTGTTACCCTTCCAGAGCCTCATTCTTCAAAGTTTTCATAGTCAAAAGGAAACTTGAGCTCCTTGTTTCCTCCTAACCTCAGTCCCCAGAGAAAACCAAGCTGAATGACCACTTGCTGAGCTAGCAAACAACTTTTGGTGGTTAATCGCATGTCCTTTACTGCTCAAGCCAACACTGCTTCTAATTGCAAAGCTCCCCTTCTGGTCTCTTTCTTCCTGGTGCTCTGAGCTTGCTTGCCGAGCTTTTCCTTTGGGTCCCGGGGGAGCCACCCTGAAGGTCACAAGCCGCTGTGGATGGCCTTTGGCCAGCTGGTGTTTTGGTGTCCCTGGAGCTGTGTTGTGTGACTGCTCTTCTCTTCACAAAGTCAGTGCTATTAATATCAGGTAATGAACATAATCTCTAGGTTAAGCTATCCTCTTATGCATGCGGCTACCCTCACACGCTCTGTCCACTCCTCGCTCTGTTTTTTCCCCTCCTGCTCCTCTTGCGGTTGGTACACTGGACCTTTATGGGTGTCCTTCAGATATCTTGATTTGCTTCCTTGAACCCCAGTTTTCTCCCCTTGGAATCACAGAGGAGAAACCCACCTTTCTGATCACTGTCATATGCAGAATTCACGTGGTCTGTTTCCTAGACGTTTTGTGTGCTTTGAGGCTGCAGTGAGATACCAAGCTTAGCGTTGATATTCAGCACACACAAACAACCAGCCAACTCCAGTTCTAGAGTCCAAACACGCGAAGTTTTCCTGGGCCCCAGTCTCTCCTACAAATGAGCAGATCTCCTATATATTTGGGGGTCAGGATTTCTGGCTGTCGGGCCCTCGATGCTGAAGACAGGTGAGTGCTGTAATTTGCTTTTCTTCTTCCCCTTCTTGCTCTGGACGTTAAATCATGTTGGGTTACTGCAGGACACCGCATGCTTTTTGGAAAGATTTAAGAAAGGGAAATTTGGGGACATGGGAACAGTGTGCGTGTGAGCGGGGGGTGGGAGAATAGGTTCCTTTTTGGGCTGCAAAAAACAATTTGTGTGCAGGCAGGAAGAAGATGTGAGCGGGGGGGGGGGAGGAATAGGTTCCTTTTGGGGCTGAAAAAACATTTGTGTGCGGGCAGGAAGAATAATCATTGACCTGGTTGGAAGTCTGCAAACCAGAGCACAATGCGGCCGGCACCTTTGCATTTGAGAATGGGCTGTTTTGCAGATACCCAGAGAGTGAATTGGGTGTGTGTGTGTGTCCTAAACTTCGGTAAGTCTAGTTTTTGCACCAGGTAATTGCTGTCTAGGTTTTCTGCGGGCGAGCCCTTTTGTGCATTGTTGTGAAAGCCCCACCCACTGAACACGAACTCCAGGGTAGAATGAAGTTGGACGGGGAGTGCATGTATATAGAGGATGTATTCTTCCTGTAGTCTTCGGCTATCAGAAGAATAATTCACATCCCCCCTTAACTACAGTACTACCCTTTAAGCTATTTGGCGTGGCGAAGGGGTGATGTTTTTAAACGGTGATTCCCCACTAATACCACCCCTCTCATGCCTTCTCTCCGCCTTCTCTCGCCTCTGATTTGCTTCTGGGATGGTTTGCATTCACACATTTAGCATCAACAGATGTTCGTTTTGATTAAATCGGGGGAGCAGGGACAGGGAGAAATGTATCGTAATCATTTAAATGTTTTCTGCATCCCCTTTACCCAGCCTTGTTCTTCAGGCGGGCGAATAATAAATACTATGAAGTTGACATTCCGTCTGTTTTCTCCGCGAGCAGCCATTGTAACGGCCTGAAAAACCTGTGTTTTTCACTGCGTCTGTGTGTGTGTGTGACAGGTGCACACAGGCGTTTCTCTGTAATATTGGGTTTCGGCTTCTCACTGTGTCACATCAATAATGTCTCTCAGTCTCACTGTTCCTGGACGTTTACATTTCCGCATTCTCGGTACAAGAGAAATTTCCCAACCTGGCACTTCCTGGACTACAACTCCGATTACCCCCTGCCAGCCAGCATGGCCGGCCAAGCTGGGGATAATGGGAGTTGTAGTCCGGGATGCCTGGAGGGGGTCAGTTTATGGAAGGTTGTATTGCAGGATTGGGGGAGCAAATGGTTCAGGTTTGCTTTGCTTTCCTTTTTAAAAAAATAAGCAAATTTGGCGACTTGGCAGAGTTGAGGCCCGCCAAATGATGCCTTCTCAGAATAAGTCTCAGGGTTGCTTCGTGGCTTCCATTGGGCTTAAAAAACAAAATCCTTGTCCCAAGTATCTAGAGTATATACTGCTGTGAACTTCAGGGATGGGCAGCTTTTCGAAAAGATTATACCCACTCCTAGAGGTTGAGGAGCTGCGCCGGCCCTTGTTCATCACCCCAATTAATTGAACTTCCATGTTCAGAAGCACTCTACCCCTAAATAACTAGTCACAGCAAACAAGGAGGGGCTGTCAGCCAATGGAAGGCTTGGACGGGGCCGAGCTCAACCGTTAGGCAGGGCGAGGCATCAAGCAACATCTTTTGCACGTCATGAAAGGGCAGCGTATTGATACTATTATATTTTCCTATCGTCTCCAAGGATTACCCACTTAGGAGGTTTTCGGTGCCCTGCTGTCAAAATAAATTCATTGGCTTTGATTCATGTACACCTTGACAACAGTCGGTGGTGGAGGAGACCGGCTTGACGCCGTGACGAGACAGCAGCAGGAGGACAAAATTCTCCCCTTGGGTGAATTCTGACCTGTTTGGGACACCCCAGGGTGTCGAAACCACCCTGAAGAGGTGGTGAACTGGGGGGGGGAAGCCTGTTGATTACGGCGGGGGGATGGCGGTCATCTCCGTTTGATCCAGGAAACTCCCCAATAAGCCAACGAGACCGGCTTGACGCCGTGACGAGACAGCAGCAGGAGGACAAAATTCTCCCCTTGGGTGAATTCTGACCTGTTTGGGACACCCCAGGGTGTCGAAACCACCCTGAAGAGGTGGTGAACTGGGGGGGGGAAGCCTGTTGATTACGGCGGGGGGATGGCGGTCATCTCCGTTTGATCCAGGAAACTCCCCAATAAGCCAACGGGCAGAAACAAGCAGCTAGAACTTGCTTGCAAATCGTCGGCAGCCGGCAGTAAGAGAAGCAACAATCAGCTATTCAACATCAGTGTTACCATCGGGTGAGATATATTTTTACAACTAATTGCTTATGATTACCTCTGTAGAAAACAATTCCTATATACAGAAAAAAGAATCTATCAATCTCATCAATCATAGAGTGGCAGAAAATCTGGAGAGAGGGATAGTTGATGTAAAGAAAATAATTTAAAGATTAATGGGACATTAACTACTCATTTAAATGCATTTAAAATATACTTTAAGAATATTATAATTTGCCGTTATAAATCTTAAGAAATTTTCTCGTAAGTTATTACTAGTTAAGTCTGGACTTATCTTATGTTTTGACTACTTGAAGTCTTTTGGCATAATGCCCAGAACAGTGACCTTGAGCACTCTACTACTGTTTAAAGCTTGGAAACCTGATGAAGAATGGAGGAAGATGTGGAAAATGAGGGTTTTACGATTTATGTTGGTGAGAATAAGAGAATTTTTTTTCAAATTTGGTTTAAGATCGTATTTGATACCAACAAAATTGAATAAAATTATCACTAGTTATCTGAACGTCTGTTGGAAATGTGAGAAGGAAATTGGTACATACTTTCATATATGGTGGGAATGCGAAAAAGTACAAAGATTTTGGAAACTAATCTTTAAAGAACTAAATGACATATGTGAAAAAGATATAGAATTTAAGCCTGAGATAGCTCTGTTATAAATATTTGAGAACGTGGAATATGATAAGATGATTAGAGAATTGACTACCAATTTATTAACAGCAGCCAGATTAATAATAGCTAGGAATTGGAAATCAAAGTCTGAATTTCGAATGGAAGAATGGTATAATGAAATACGGAACATTGCTATAAATGATAAGTTAACTTGTACCTTAAAGGTTACAAAAGGAGAGATGAAAAACAATAATTTCTATGATATATGGTGCAGATTTCTTGAATATGTGCTAACAAGAGGAAAAGGATCAAGAATCAATGCAGTTCTGGAGAAGAGGACAATAAAGGAAGAAAAAGAATAAAGATAGAGGAAGAAGAGGATTACTGCAAGAGGTCCCGACTATGGTGGTGGGAAACACAGTCGATTTGTATTTTGGTTTATGTATTTTATGTTTATGTTGTAGTTTAAAAAAAAAATTAAAAACTGTTTGCTTTAAAATAAGCATCTCTTTGTGGAACTTCCCTGTTTTTTTAAATATGGAGTAGCAAACAAAAATCAATATTTAACTTCAGGAATTGTAAAGGAGCATATCCTCTATATTAAAAAGGAGAATTTAAATTGAAATAAGGGAACTCTAACCAGGGTAAAGATGTAATATGGTGGGTCTTCATTTTAGGTAAATTAAACTAGATACTGTATAAGGTTGAGGCATGGATCTGGAACTACTTTTATTAAGAATGTTATTAGGAGATCTTCAGAATATTGTACACTATGAAAATAATATTACTATAGTAGCCCTATTATATACTAAAATGCGTACATGAATGATTTGAATGTCTGAAAGATGTCTGGAATTTGGGGGGACAACTGGGAAGACACTGAGATGTAAAAAACAAATAATTGTAAGCAAATCATGTAATACGATGTTTGACAAGCACAAATTAAATGTAGATAGAGCGAAAAACTAATAAAATGTTTTAAAAAGAAACAGTCGGTGGTGGCTTGCTGCTACGCTTCAGGCGGACAGATGTCTTGGGCCAACTCAGTGGTGGCCTGTGTAAATCCTTGGCCTGATCCATCAGGGCTTTTTTCCTATGAATGCACAATATTGTCCTGTGGGGGCTTGCCAACAACTTGCGGAATTTTTATGTTGTATGCGGGAAAGCATCTCATAATGATTCCTGAAAGGCAGGTCACTATTATTAGCCCCAACCAATCACTTGGTGGCTAAGAAGCAAATCATCTTTCAGGAGTGGGAATTTTTCTATTAAAAATCACATATGACTTTCCAGCTGCATCTGTAGTCACCCCACACATCACATACATACATACATACATACATACATACATACATACATACATACATACATAAACTTGCTGCATTGTTGTTCACATTGGTTAAGCAAACAGTAAGCCATGTGAGATAAAGCTGCAGCCCCTCTACATGTTTGCATTAGGTCCCTCTGAAGTTAGTGTGACTTTATTTTGATAGATATACATAAAATACTGCCCTGTATGGGTTGGAGGAAGCCTAGACGTCTTATGGACTAATAAATAAATCATTCTAAATTAAACCAACTATATTTGCATGCAGGTAAGCATTCCTGTATGCGTTATTTTGCATTTCCAAATATAGAATTTCACAAGCCCGTGTTAATTTCGCTTTTCCTGTTCAGAACTCTCAAATCCTTTAACTGCTTAGAGGGACGTGCCTTCGGCTTCTACCTGGAGCAGAGGGACTCATCTTAAGACCTTCAGCTCAGCCCGGAGTCACTTCAAACCCTCTTGTCCTATTTCGGTATTGCTTGGTCAGGTTTTGGTTATGCTCTTCCGTGCACAAGGCCCAAGGGTGGCTTGCAGGAGTTTTAAAACTGAGATGAAAATTAGAAAACAATAAAGCCGACACGCTGGTCACAAAATATTGGTTTAAGAGCCATGAGAACTGCAGGATCAAAATTCTTCAAAAGGAAAAGGCCAAGGAAGAGATAGGAGAGGCTCTATTAGAGTGGCTTGCCTAGTCGTGGGTTCTCATCCAGTTCTTCAGATGTATGACATACGATGGACAGCTCCATACACCTTTGGCTTTT